GAGCCAATATTTTCTGAATGACTAATACATGATGTTACAAAATAACGCTTGAATAAGATATCCATTCCAATTTTAAGATAGACCAATTGATTCTAATGAAAACAAATACAAAGAGTTCATTCATGTGGCTTCAGAATCTACATTAMAAATAACTTTTAACAAATTACCAGYTGTTGAGTTTGGATGTATATCAAAAAATGTAAAATGTATATTATCTTTAAAGGTCACTAGTATATTCCTCCCCATTCCAAGTACCTGTCTGTGAGAGGCTGGATTTTTCTTCCCAWCTTCAACCAAAACAATATATTGCAACATGTGGAATGCAGAAGCAGATATGGAACGCAGCCTTTCATCTTTTCATCTACACAGTGAAGTAGTAGGAGAGAATGTTTTAAAAAGTGACACTCACTAGCTTTGCAAAACATGTATATAATTATTGTAAATTTTTGAACTAGAGATTAATGTACAATGAGTTTATTAATGCTAATTTAATCAATATATCAAACTTTTTCAAATTTAAAAAAAAACAGAAAATATTGATTAGACATAACCCACAATCGTCTCTCTGGGATAGTCAGTAATTTTCACAAGTACAAAGGGGTCCTGAGAACTAGAGGTCCCACGGCAAATCAATGTTGCTAGTGCTGGTGCAGGTTGGCCACCAGGTGGCAGCACCACTCCTTGAATCCTGGCATCCTTTCACACAACCCCCACTCTGGGGCATCTCCCCCACCTCCCCATGTCCCCCCTCACCTTCTCCAATTCCTTCTCTTCCTCTCCCTTCTCCTGTGTTGCAYAACTTCTTAATTACCGGAAATGGTCTTCTAAGCATAGGTTTTGGAAAGCCAAGTCAGTCATTCATTTTACCCTGCAAATGCTTATCAGATGTCTCTCACGTGCAAAGCTGATCATTGAAGAAGGAGAAGGTGGAGAAGCTGGCTCTCCAGGATTTAATCATCTAGTGCGGGAGTCAAAGGCCGGTAATTACAGTGCCCACAGGGTGATGTTGTGAAAGCCCTTATTCCCTACAAAGGGGATTTCTGAGAGGCAGGGGAAGCCAATGCAGAGATACTGGGATACCCCTCCAGAGTCTTGGAGAGATCTGAAACTTCAGTGTGGGATAAAGTAAGGACAACAGCTAGAAAAYGGGAAAGGAGGAAGGACTGGAAAACCGGTATCCAGGGGACAGAAGAGGGGACATCCACTTTCTTGATTTGGAAGGCAACACTTCCTGGAAATCAAGAAAATTCTGTGCACAGATAGCTGAGGTGGAGTACGGGAGGTGTTCAGACCTAGGATCTAGGAAGCCCGGTTACCAGAGAGGCCTCACTGTGGAGCCAGAGCAGCCTAGCGTGGGGCAGGAGATGGGTCGGCCTTCAGCTGACCTTAGGATGGCCAGCAGTGGAGGCTTGGTGAGATCGGAGGCCAAAGATGGCAGGACAACCATCYGATGTCCCCTGTGGCTGACTCCTCGGAGCCATCCTAATGCACCGGACACCCAAACTGAACAGTGGGGAATGGGGAGTCAGAAAGTCCAGATCCAGAGAGTTCCAAGCCACTGGGAAGGGACAGCATGGAGAAGAGGCAGCAGGTTGGGCTTAGCCTTGGAGGGTCTGGGCCCCAGGGGGCAGCTCTGAGGAGGGGACCTGCCTTCCTTTCCTGGGGGAGCAGCACGTGATCAGGAATCACACAGGGCCCTGGGGCATCGGGGCCGTGTTCATGGAGCCCACCGAGATGCCATCGAAACCTGGTGCCAGCCCAAGAAGTGACTGAGCTGACCCAAGCTCTCAGTTTAACGGATACAAACCTGGAGGCCRTACGGAGGGAGAGACTTGTAATGGCCCCCAGTGAGTGGGCAAAGCTAGGAATAGAACCAGCCTCTGTACACTTTCCACCAGGRTCCCGCAGACTGGAGGATGAGAGCTTGGGGTGGGGAGAGTCCCACGTGCACCCACTGGGACACCCAGTGCAGCACAGGTGGACCAAGTGGCCTGAGGGCCGCAGCAGTGATACCCAGGGTTACCATGACTACTCGATGCTGGGAGTGCTGAAGTGTAACACCAGAGAAGCGGCAAGTGTGGAGTGGAAGTGGAAGGCTTTACTAAAGAGAGCCGAGAAGACCTCCCCCCCACACACCCCAGGAAGAAGGGGCTTGGGGTGATTTGATGAGCACCTCCCTATTTGCTGGGAGCTGCTTCATTAACAGTTCTTTAGGATGGGCCTGGCCTTGGGGACATTGACATTTYAGTCTCCTGGGCTSAGGTTGACTCCATGTTCTTTAGGGACTTGGTTTTCTTTACTAGGCTGGGCATCAGACCCAATTCACCTAGCTACTCTAACTGCCTGACTTTCAACCTGGCTTCAGCCGGAGTGTGAGAGAAGCAGAAAGGCTCAGGCCTGCCCTTGGTCCTGAGCCCGGGAGAGGGGCTGGTGACTTCATTGTCGCTACAGGATTCTCTGCCCGTTAGTTGTTTGCTTACACATTGTTTTTATCCAGAAACCACATCCTTTTCTCCCAAAAACAACATCCAGAGTTACTGTTCAGAGCCAGAAAAAAAGTGGCCAATTCATGTCCTCGCAGGAGGCTCTGAGTTTCCTGGGAAAACCAGTACCCCGAGGAGCTCCACCTCCACCAGCCCTCAGTGCTRCCTGGGCCTGAGGATGAGGGTGGGGCTTGGAGCACCTACTGCTCCAGCCAGGAACAGGTGGCTCAAGTCACTACCTGGTGGCTCAGCCCTGACGTCACCTGGGCCTGAACTACCTGGGATCTGGGGCCCACCATGGCCTCCTGAGATGGGACCAACTGAYGGCATGGGATTCCCCAAGTGCAAATTCCATGTCTGCGTTTAGGCTGGCTCCTGCCAGCAGCTGAGCCTCATCTCCCCTCCCCCTCCCCATTTTACATTCATCCTGAACCAACATTATAGGATGACAATCAGCAGCTCTGCAGAAAGTCACAGGGCAAAGGCCAAGAGACCAGTGTTCGTTCCACATTCATGCCCTTCATGAATTCCTGCACACCTGCGTTTACCCACTCAGCAACTGCACACCCAGCACCCTGCAAGTCAGGCCCTCGCTGGGTGCCAGGGTCCCAGAGGTGAGCAGAGCCATATACCTGCCTGGATGAGCCACAGCCAGTGAAGGAGACAGCCCCCTGAGAGTCAAGAACCCCATGGCAGATGGCAGAGCAGGGCACCCACCGTCCACCCACGGGCACACACACCCTGCTGCATCATCAATGCTTTTGCTTTTCTTTAAAATCAGTTGACARATTTTATAAGTGGAAGTTTGCAGTAAGAATGCAGATTCCCCAGGCCTTGGGGAAACCCAGCAAGGCCAGGGCCTGGGCAGCCCTCCCCTGAGGCTGAAGGCTGGCTGTCCTTCAAGTTAAGAATGCTCCTGCCAGCCGGTCTCCACTAAAAGCAAAAATAATCCAAATGGGGACAGACCTCAGTGGATCAGCAATGTCAACGAGTTTTATAGGGTTCAACAGAGCCGGGTCATGGGGTGAGCGGGTCAGTACTTTTGGCAGGCACATTGAGGGTGGGACAGGAGGGCAGGTAGGGAAGTCCCCTGGGGCCTGTGGTGCTGGGTCATCAGTTGCTGAGCTCCTCTGCGCTCTCCCCAGCTTCCCTTCCTGCCTCCYCTCCAGCTGAGGCCTGAGCTTCTAAATGTCTAAGGCTCCAATTGACCTCAGACGTCTCCTGGCACACACTTAGCAGGAAGGTGGGGGAACAGCTGCAGATAGGGGAGTGCCTGGGGGTTTATTCACAATGTCCTTCATCCAGCTACCTAGTGTCCTTGACCCAGAGTTCCCACATCAATTGCCAAAGTCACCCTACTGCTCTGTTGATTTCTCACACCTGGCGGGCTTCACCGTGTGCCTGTTCTGCAGGAGGGTGTGAATCTTTGGTGCAGGTGAAATTGCTCCAACAGAGGCAGCAGAGGGCGCTGTGGGAGCATAAGAAAAGGCACCCGGCCGGTGCTCACAAAGCCTGAAACTAGATGTAGATTCCTTACCCRCCCGAGCAGGTGGACACACAGGGTCCGCCTCCATTCAGTGATTCCTCTAAACAGTCAGGGGCAGCCTCCGTTGGGAAATGCACCTGAACTTTCCATTTAAGTATTTCTTGGCTGGTGGGGCACAGTGGCACACCCTGTAATCCCAGCTACTCTGGAGTCTGGTGCAGAAGGATCGCAAGTTCGAGACCAGCCTGAACAACTTAGTGATACCCTGTCTCAAAAACACAAGAAAAGAGRAAAGTGCTGGAGGTGGTGTAACTCASTGGTAGAGCACCCTGGGCACCCCAGTTCCTCAAAAATAATAATTTCACAGCCATGTCGGCACCATTCATTCATTCATTCAAGTGTGCATTCGACATGCATTTATTAAATAATTGCTGTGCGCTTAATACAGTGCCAGGTCCTACCCCAAACTACCAAGGGTTTAAAGTGTGATTAGGAAGACAGGATGTCAAACCATGTCTCCCCTGTGTTTTGTGACTCGCTCACCAAGATCCCCCAGCATGTTGTGCTGGTACCAATAATAATGAAAAGGTAACTGATAATACTGCTTCTTATTTCCTGAACTCTTCCCAGTTCTACATGTATGGTACAATCCTCAAGGAAGGCGCTATTAGTATCTTATTTTACCAATTAAGGAAAGTGAAACAGCGAAGTTCAATAAATGGCCTAAGGTCTCACTCAGTGAGTCTGAGCTCTGTGCACCTCAGCAGAGCAGGCAGGACGTGCTCAGGACCAGGGCTTAGCACACACTGGGGCTGCCCGGGGCTTCCAGAGGGCAGTGGGCAGGAGGGGCCTGGGCAATGAGGGAAGGCTTCTTGAAGACTGGAGAAAAGAACTGGGTGAGGTGGAAGAGGAGGAATACCTTCCCCGAAGGAGGGAGAGAAGCTGGGAAGAGCGAGAAGGCAGGACAATACCTGAGGTCCGTCCTCCATGCACCATGGACTCTTCCCGGGGCGAGGGGTCAGGATGCCAATAAGGAAATGATGATTCAGCAAAAGCAGGGGTGTCCCTCCCCCGACTGTGTGTGTGGGAGGTGAAAAACATGAAAAAGAACCTCTCTTTCAGGATCTACAGGCACTCTTCAGACAGCAGCGAAGCATGCAAATCACTTGACTGGGGTGGGGGGGGAAGCAGCCTTAGGAGCCAGAAGTGGCCCTGGGGGAGGCCGCCCTGCCCAGGGGGTGTTCCTGACGGGAAGAATAGCCCAGGTTTCCAGGGTGAGGCAGCCTCGGAGCTGAGCCGCCAGGTGGGGTTTGGATTTCACCATCACGCTGTGGCAAGGAGCAAGTGGGCCCCGAGTGCCCACAGTGGAGGGGAAACTGGCCAGGAGAGACCGAGCCCAMGCCCCATGGGCCTTGTGCAGAGGACTAAGCCATATCAGTTTGCCCTGTGGGCGGTGGGGAGATACATACGAAGGTGGCAGGAGGGGAGGGGTCCRCCTTGCCCACCAGGAGCGACATACAATAGCCACTTCGTAAGTTCCTGGAGGGTGTGGAGCCCAGTGAGGAGTGGGATTTAGAAGAGGCAGGCCCTGAAGACCTCTCACTCTGACTGTAAGAAGGATGGATACCTGCCATTGCCCTTAACCAGGAACCGAGATGTCTGAGGCCAAGTCCTGCCACGTCACCAGCCAGCTCTGTGACCTTGCTGGGGTCCCTCTCTGGGGTCCTTCATCTGCAATGCAAYAGGGTCGATCACCTCTAAGAACCTTTCTAATCCTAACCCCCACTCTCCAAATCTAAGAACTCRTGCCAGACCCTCCTCCCCACAGAGCCAGGCAAGCACAGGGGACCAAAGAGGGGAGGCAGAGGGGGTCGGCACCACGGTCCTCAGAGGACTTCTAGCTGTCACAAAGGTGGGATGTGAGAGGGGCCAGGGGAGTGGCAGGCCCGTGGCTTGCTCAGGGAGAGAGGGGGCGTTGGAGTTGAGGGGACTGAACTCACCAGCCTCCTCCCAAACCAGTTCCAGGCCCAGGGCTGGCAATTTCACAAAAAAAAAAAAAAAAAAAAAAAAAAGGCAAAGGAACTATGTGAACATTTCCTGTCCTGCCCAGCCCCCTCCCTGGAGGCTTACCAAACCGATGGCCTGTGAAGCAATCCTGCCCAGAGAGCGCTGGCCCGGAGCTGCCTATAAATGCCAAGCCAGCACCTCCCTGTCAGAGGCTCTGTGTGGATCCTGGACTTTGGTGAGTGAGCTACTCACTGCGCACTGGCAGAAGCCTGCCTTCCAGTTCTTTCTCTTCTCCTCCCACCCAACCTTCTTCCAAACTCTCCTCCTGGAAGCCCTCCTTGGTCTGGCCCTGGATACTCTCTAGCATCCTTCACATTTCTTGGGTCTTCTGTGCCCAACTGCTTTTCCCCCTCCCTTCCTTCCTGCCCGTGGCCAGAGGACAATCAACGCAGCCTGGCAGCCTGTTCTCTCTTCTAAATGTCCCAATCCTTGCTTCTCCATTATTCCAACAGAGTGCAAGAAGATGGCTCAAGAATTGTCACAGATGGAACGCAGCATAGAGACGGTGATCGACGTCTTTCACCAGTACTCAGTAAGGTTAGGGGACCGAGACACCCTGAACCAGAAGGAATTCAAACARCTGGTGAAGACAGAGCTGAAAAACTACCTCAAGGTAGGGCCTTGGTCAAAGAGAGAGGAGCAGGTGCTGTCTGGGGCAGGTGCTGTCTGGGGCAATCAAGGAGAAAGCTGTAGCCGGGAACTTGTCTGGAATCCCAGCTACTCAGGAGGCTGAGGCAGGAGGATCTCAAATTTGAGGCCAACCTAGGCAACTCAGCCAGACCCTGCCTCAAAATAAGAAATATAAAGGGCTGAGGTATAAGACAGTGGTAGAGCACCCCTGGGTTCAACTCCTACCAAAAGAGAGAAAGGGAGAATACTAGCTTCTTCTACCCAGAGGCACTAGAGATGCTCAAAGCTAGGCAGCACTAATAGAGTCAAGAAATTGTGTGGTTGGACCTGTGCTGTGTSTGAAGCCCTGTGGTGGGAGACACACAACAAAGGAACAGATAAATCCAACCCCTCTAAGTGCCTGGGGGATAACAAATAGGGTGGTGGTCTGGGTGGGTAGGGCAGAGGGGATTAGGACAGGAAGAGCCCCTTCAGGTGACACAGGAGCTGAGACCCRGGTGTTGGGAAGGGAAGCACCTACACTCAGCACTCGGCAGGAAGCTAAGACTGAGCTGGGAAGGTGGGGTGGACCTAGAAGGCTTTTCCAATCCCACCCGTCCAGGGAAGAAAGTTGAGAAATAAGGAGCATGTGGAGAACCCATGTTTCCCTGTTCTGAAAATGCTTTCCAGGAAAAGGAAGGGTTCATTCCCACACTCTTTCTGTTTTCTTTATAAATCTGGGGAAATGGGGAAACAGAGGCCTAGACTAAGAAGGACGTAGAACCCGTGGGTCCCAGGCCCCATCCTGTCCCCAGGGCCCGCCGTCCTGGGGTAAGTCCCCATCCCCCTCTGGTGCTCGCCCCTCCCTGGTAAGATGGAGAATGGCCACCCTGGGAGATCTGAGGGACAGTGACAACTCCCTGCAGGTGAGGGTCTCAGGCTGGATGAGGTAGACAGGGCACCAAGAGGCCTTGTGGGCGACGTTCTCCTCTGTGGGACACCCACATGCTCCCCGTCCCCCACYCCAGGGTCCCCTGCCAGAAGCAAAGTGGTAGGCTAAGAAGGGGACCTACAAGATGGGCCACCAGAGTCCAGGAGAAGGCTGAGCAGARGGGTCCCAGCCAGAGAATGGCAGAGCGAGCGGGCAGCTGGTTCTCTTGGGCTCACCTGGACCCCGTCACCTGGCCCCCATCCTCGTGGCATGCTCTGTCTTACCCYGTGAGGTCAGCAGAGCCCCTCCACGGCTCTGCCCCGCCCAGGACCTCACAGCAGCTTGCTTTCCTAAGTGCCTCCCCCATGTGAGGCTGGATGAGCTTCAGTAACTGGCGACCTCTAGGGAAGGAGGGGAGGGGGACTGAGGGGAGTAAAGAGAACAGGACTGCTTCAGTAACTGGCGACCTCTAGGGAAGGAGGGGAGGGGGACTGAGGGGAGTAAAGAGAACAGGACTCGACGGGTCCAAGGCAGACCTGACTCTGCTTCTCCACCTCTGGGCTTCCAGGCCTGCTCGACCCCAGAACGGCTGAGCCTCTCTAAGACCCGAGTCTTCCTAGGAAGATGTGATTTCCACCTGTTCAAGTTGTTAAAAAGGGGATATGTCCAGACTTGCAAAGTGTGGGACCACCTTCTGTAAAATAGAGGGTCCTCACATTGGAGGGCAGGTCTGGGGAACCAAATAGAAAGTGTTCAGCACACACTTAGTGTCTGCCCCTCCGGGGGCACCCCGTCAATGGTCATCTTGAAGTGTCTTTAACGGGGGCCAACCTTCCCCGTTCATCTGCTATCTGGCCATTCACTGTGCTCCCGGGTCCCCCCACCCTGGCCATACCCAGCCCTTACTGCCCTCTCTCCCACACCCACAGAAAGAGAGTAAGAATGAGAAGGTCATAAATCACATCTTGGAGGACCTGGACACCAACCTGGACAAGCAGCTGAGCTTTGAAGAGTTCATCATGCTGATAGCAAAGCTGACCCATGCCTCCCACGAGGAGATGCACAAGAACACCTCCAATACGGAAGGTCACAGCCATGGGCCAGGCCTTGGGGGGTCCTGCTAATCGGGAGGCCACGCCACCCTGCATCTGGCCAGCCAGGGCCTCGGGGAATGATGGGTCCCACTGCCTTGGCTGTGGCCGTGAGGTCAAGGGGAAATAAAGTCTTTCACCGTGCAAGGACTCCGCGTGCTKCTTCTGCCACCTTCCCAAGTTGTCCTTCCCGGGAGTCTGAGGGATTAGGGGATCAGGAGGGGTGGACAGCCCACCCGTGTCTGCAGCTCCGCCCTCCATCGGGTCAGAACAAAAGGAGAACCAGCAACACGTGGCTCTGTTCTGGACCTCGTGGGTTCACCTACCTGACCATGTCCTCCTCCCTGACATCAGACCCTCCGGGTCAGGTCCCATCACCCTGTCCTGCCTGTCAACACAGCCTGGTCCCCGCAGAAAGCAAAAGCGGGCTATCCCTGTCCCTCAGTGTGCCACACACTCCCTTACCCCCTCCCAGCCCCGCCTGGCCCATCACTGTCCAGAAGGTCATCTCTCTCTGTTAGAACTCTATCCCTCTGAAGTCTCCCAGAAAGGGACCAGGAYGATGCCACATCTGGGGAAAAAACACTTGGGCAGTGGGAACAAGGACAAATGGGGATGATTACGTACCAACTCGTTTCTGGATCCAAGACAGCAGTTGGATTTCTCCTAATAGGCCTAGTATCCTAAATGTGGGTGTTAGGGGGCGGGGTGCTCAGTGGGTGGGCGTGGGAGTTAGCCCATGCCTACCCCAGCCCCAGCAGGACGGTGGAGTGACAAGGCCCCCGCCTGCCCAGCAGAAGACATGAGCGCCGGGCTGGGTGCTGCAGTAAAACCTTCAGAAGTACCAGGGAGAGCTTGAACTCTGAGTCTGCAGATCATCTGGGGCCTGAAGATTCAGATTTTAAGCCTCAAGATCCAGCTGACCTCCCTGCTGCAGTGGAGATTTCTCCAGCGCCTGGTTGGTAGCTGAGAGCTTGGGCCAGTGCGATTTACTCCTCTCTGCAAAACCTGCATCCCCCAGACCCAGGTGCCCACCTTAGGGACATCCAAGTGACTCCTCTTTCATCTCCCTGACCTCTGCTCCTAAAATCCCAGGTCACAACCAGCTGGTGTGGGCCTTGCAAAAACCACAGCCCAGTTCAGGGTTCCCTGCATGAGATTTAGGATCAAGAGAGAGATACTGCATCTCAAAAATCACTCATAAGCCATGGAGATGCAGAAAATGCTCAGGAGGAAGAGTTGTAAATCCTGAGGGACATGCCCTTAGCCCAGGCCCTTGTAAAAGGACCAAAAATGTACAAGCTCAGGGAAAACTGGCAAGAAATTATGTAACTCCACCCTGGCTCCACCCCACACCAGGGGTGACTCCACCCTGGCTCCACCCCACASSAGGGCTTGCTGCTGTCTCTCCTTCTGCAGAGAACCCACATCTTCCCTGAATTTGTATTCCTTGCTCTTCTTGAGATTGCCCCCTTCCCCCTTGACTATGTATTTTCTTTCCTAAATAAACACCTGTCTATGTCTTTGATGGGCTCATGCTGAAATTCTTCTCCATCGCGGATGCCAAGAGCCCTGCTGGTCCTGGGTCAAGCTCCCCRTCTCTCTGGGAACTCCTAGAACACTGCTTCAGAGGCACGTCTTCCCCAGCGACAGAGGCCCCCAGCCTTGCCGCAGGGAGAAGACACAGAATTGGGAGTGGGGGGAGTTGGAGAAGGACTAGCAGTCATCTATTCCTTTTTTTTTTTTTTTTAATAAATGAAGAGACACATACAGCAGAGACTAGTGCAAGGTCACACAGGAGCAGAGTGGATCAAAATAGTGCCAGGAGAATGGGGCTTGAAGACCACCGKCTTCACTGCCTGAGTCTCCCCCTTCCTTCCCTAGAGCTGAGCAAGGAGAAGGCAGCCTCCTGCTGTGACCTACTGTCACGAGTCCCCAGCTGCTGGTAGCATGCTCCTACTCTGAAGTCCCCAGGCCTCCACTGTGGGGGTGAGGACGTAAGAGCCCACGGATGTCTCCGGGCTGTGGGTTTGGGTACAGAGTGGGGAAGCCCTCACCAGCCCTCAGTGCCTGACTTGGTGCATCTTCTGACGGCTCCTACCCCTCYGCACATCCAGGGAGGCCTCACCCCCTTTATCCTCTTCTGAATGCGGCTGGCACAGGGGAAAGAAGCAACCTGGGACAGGAGGCCTGAGTGCCAGCACTGGACTCGGTGCTCAGGGGAAGGCAGGCAGGTGCTTCCCCCCACCACCACTCTCTGCCCATTACTGACCACAATGTCCCCGAAATATACCTGTGACTCTGTCTGCAACACTAGACTGTGAACTCAGGGGTGGCAAAGTCCCTGCCCTTGTCCTATTCTCACTTTAGCCCCAGCACCAGAGGGATGGATGGAGCATAGGAGGATCCCAACAAACGCTGACTGTTTAAATGTCCTGAAATTCCTGAGGTGCTCTCTTCTCAGAGGAAGGTGGAGGGGAGAGGAGGAGGAGGAAAGTGTGAGTAAGCCACGTAAATGGAAGGCTTCTGGGTTAACATCTTAGACCCTGGAACCTGAAGGTTGGGGGTGCAGGGTTATGGGAACCAAAGGCCCCTCCCCCACTGTTTTGAGTCAGATCCGTTCTGCTTTTATGTCACACACACACACACACACACACACACACACACACACACACAGAGGAACTTTGGATTTGAAAAAAAAGAGATTTGCTGTGGGGAAAAAAAAGGAGACCCATTGCTTGAATGCAAGCTGCCCCAGCTCCACCCCTGAGTGGTTCTCCCCAACGTCCCCGCCAAGAGGTTGAACCAACCCTGCCTGAATTCCTCCAGGGAAGTGGGGCTTCCTCCTTTGGCTCTGACACCCCGAACACCCTTCATTACACTGAGCCAAGACCCGTCTCCTGGTGCCTGGTACACATTAATCCTAGTTCCCCTCCTTCGAGGGAAAAGAACTATTTGAGACACAGAATAAAGCTAATCCCTTCCACCTATCCAGTACCCCAAAACCCTCTCCATAAATACGCCCAGTCTTTCTCCAGCCTCTTCACTTTCACACTAGGAACACTCTTCCCCTCCTGGTGTCTCTAGCAAGTTCCTTGGTATCCACCAGGTCTCAGCCAGCATCTGACTTCTCGAAGCCCCCACCACCTCCCTCCCTTCTCAGACCAGAACTCTGATCCTTGTTTCTCTTCCCTCCTCTCTCTCCCTCTCTCCCTCCCCYTCCCCCCTCCCCTCCCCTTTCCCACACCAGTACTAGAGAGTGAACTCAGGAGCGCTCTACCCCTGAGCTCACCCCCAGCCCTTTTTATTTTTTTATTCTGAGACAGGGTCTCTTGCTAAGTTGCTGAGGCCAGCCTCAAACTTGCCATCTCTCCTTCCTGAGTTTCTGGGATTACAGGCAAGCGCCACCATGCCCAGCTTGACAGCTCTGCCACGGCATGTCCAATTATGACTTGGAATTCCTTGTCTGCGAGTTGACTGTGAGCTCCTGAAACCAGGATATGGTTGTCCTGCTCCACGTCCCCGGATCTCGGCATAGTGCAGACTCTGAGCATCATGGATGGGTCTGGGGCCCTAGGGAGTCAGAGGCAGATGTTGGAACAGACCTGGGTCCTTCACAGGGAGGACCCAGAGGTTTCGGGCACCAGCTGCCTGGCAGTTTGGAGGCTGACACAGCAGAGAGAATGGACCCGTTTAGGTGCTGGCAATGCGTCCTCTTGCCCTCATCTCTCCACAAACTCTGTCTTGCTGTAGGATTCTGTTTTAGAACCCAGGGAAGGTCTGASAGCAAGCCACTCTCTCAGGCCCCAGGGGATCTGAACAGAGCTGGTTAAGGTAGGTTAGCCCCTTCCTTCCCACTAGTCCCCTCCATTAAATAGATGACATGGTCCTGATGATCAAAGGGGAACAAAGCCTCTTCCCTCAGACACAGAGCAAGAGGGTCACGGTAAAGATTTCTGCCGCAGTCTGGCTGGGCACAAGATCACGAGCCACTCACAGCTTTGTAGATTCAAACAGCAATTCYTTATTCCCGAACTCACACCGSCCCTGTACCAACACGTTCTGGGGAAATCCAAGTTCTGCCCGCACAAATCACGTACTCCACCAGGCTTTTAATCCCAAATACTTTCTGAATTCCAGGAGAACTCAACGGGAACTCAGGCAGCAGGATACGCCCTATTCCCAGCAGGAATAATCTTAAACCTGGAACCGCCCTAAACCCAGATTGTCCTAAACCGGGAATGCCCTAAACCCAAGGAGCGGGATACTCCCTAAAACCTKCAGGATACACCCTAAACCTGGATCCGCCCTAATCCAGTAGGATCCTCCTTAAACCCGGATCCACCCTGGTCCTTGAGCAGGGTCACCTTTCTCAAACATACATGCATACATGCAATGTCACAGCGAATGTCCAAGGCAAGTCCATTTCCTCTAAGCAACATGGGGTACRCTGGCAAGGAAATTTCAATGCATCATTCCTACTTGGCAATGGCTCTCAGCAGATTTCCACTGCAGGGAGAGCTAGAGGCTGCCTCTCAGATGAGCATGTTCTTTGGAGAAACATGAACTTGGGGGTTTCCCCAGGATCCTGGTGTCTAAGGAACCAGAGATGACTGTCCCCCAGTTGCTAGAAGAGGGAGTTGCCTCCGATCTGGCTAGCAGTGGAACCTGAACTTCTGGATGTCTTTTTTAGGAAGAACAAGGAAGGCGCCATGGTGACCTGAGCTGCTGGACTCTGCCCAGATTTGTAGCCTGCTCTGAATGCCCTCTAGGGTCTGGGCAGCATGGAATGGCTCTGGAATTTGGGGGGAATACATGAATTCACTTGTCTCCCCRCTCATTCGCTCAGCAGGTGTCCACTGGACACTTGCTGTGTGCCGGGGACCACGTAAAGCTRCAAGAGGGGAACAAGATAAATAAGTCTTGGCTCTGCCGTCCAGCAACTCCCAGACCTGCAGCGCAACAGGACAGGTCCTCACCTTATCCTAACAAGGAAGACAAACGACAGGGGAGGTTGGAAGCTCCATGGAGCTGAAGTGGGAACCATGCCCATCGGCAGGGACCGTCTCCCTGGAGGGGAGGGAATCAGAGACGCATTGAGGCTGGGGACTATAAATGTTCCAGAACAGACATGAAGATGCTTC